GAGCCTGTGGTGCGGCCGGCGTGAGGGGCTCCCGGGGGCCGAAGGTCTGCCCCGAGGAAGCTTTTCGCAGCTTCCGGGAAGGCTCCGGTTAGCAGTACTTTCAGGCCCGGTGATTACCCCTCGGTCTCTGCGTTGGCCGTTCCTTTTCAGTTGCGGTTTTTTCTATGTGTAAGATGTTTATTTTCTTACTAGTGCAGTGTGTAAAAAGGAAACCCCCTCACACGGTGGTATCCGGCCCGCTGGTCGATATGCAAATTCAACCAGAAATAGTTTTTGTCAGAATAACGTTGGAAGCAAACCCCACAGAGGCAAATCCTCTTTCCCAGTTGCTAACGCCTCTTACTCTCAGACGAGCTCTTGCTGGTGGTGGTCTGTTGCATTAATTCATATGACGTGTAAACTGTAGAGTATTTGCGGGCCTTTTCGGAGATGACGTGTCTATTCTGTCACTCCTGCTTTCACAGAACTGTGGTTCGGCATGTAGCCGGTTACGGTTCCCGTGCTAAAAGGCTGTTGTGCGGTTGTTAGCAGCCGAGAGCGTGTGGCCACCAGGATGTTGTTTTGGGACTGTAGGTAGGCTGGAAAGTGCCTCTGGGGTGTAAGTTTGTACGCCTGTCCTAACAGGGTATTTCTCAAATCCAAAATTAAATAACCACTATTAGCAGTTTCATTCCTTGTCACTGTCAGACTTCTGAGACGCGTGACGGTCTGATTCTAGACCAGTCCCAGCTTCCTCACACAGCAAACAAATAACACTTGATTTTACTATGCTGCCTAAATAATTTTTCTCTGCTGCCTGTGTCTGACTTTTAAACACAAATGGCTGCATTGTAAATGTTAAAAAAAAAAAAAAGCCACATGCTGAAAACTATACAGAGACAACATGATCATGACCTTGATGTAAAAATGGTATAAATGAGCTTATGCTATCTCTTTCATTCTTATCTCTGTTTTAATTTTACTTCTTTAGTTTGAATGTGTGTGCAGGATTTTCAACTTGTTCTGATTTGCCAATTTGCTGCAAAATACTCTATCACAATGTGTAAGGTGTAGCATTTTTTTTTAGTACTGAAGCAGCATGTAATTGACACATTCAAAAAGCATAAGTGCCAACGTTTGTTGCTAACTAGTAGTATGCCTTTCAATGCTAATGAAGTTCTTTACGTCTATGAGACATTCTTGTATACACTTGATAAAAATCTCCAGTTTTCTAGAGACAACTGTACCCAATTAAGGGGAGGAGAGTGCTACATTAATAGCAAGACGTTTGTATTTTACCAGGTAACAGATTGGTTGGCACGTTCATTTGATGACTTCTTTGGAAACACAAATATTTCTTCTAGTGCGGTTCCTGTGAAGCCACTAGAAGGCAACTCTGGAAGAAACCAGCAGCGGAAGAAGAAAGACCTGTCCTCTGTGCCAGAAAGCAGCAAAACCAAAGCTCTGCCCAGAAAACGAGCAAAGACATCTTCAGTAGATCTGCCTTGTAACAAGTCCAGACAAAACTGGAGCCAATCTCAAGATGAGCCATGGGTAGATAGATACAAACCTGAAACTCAGGTGTGAGAGTTATTCTAAGTGCTAATATAGTGGTAACGTTATAGTGTAACATTATAGTGTAGCATGTTGTGCTTCTGTTCATGATATACTTAGAACAATACAGATTCTGTTTTATTAGGGCAGTGAAGTACTAGTTTGATTTATTTACTGTCTGTAGTTGCATGTATCTGCAGGAGGTGCATTTTTTCCCCCACACTTCCTGAGGAGATAAAGCTACTGATGAGACATTGTTTCCTGTCCATCCACTGCTAAACTTTTGAACCCGTTATTGAATTTCAGCCAGAGCTGACAGCTCCAAGTACTAGGAAAATCCACAGCTAAAGAAAGGAGAGAGAACTGAGTTAGTGCACTCATTATGGGAAAGATAACAGAAATTACCTTGCATGTTACTGGACAGCAAGTAGCTGGTCTGTTAGCATGTTCAGAGTACTTGACTAATTGCAGTTTGCGCTATCTCTTGCTATTTTGATGCATCTTAGGCATGACTTTGTGGGTGGCGGGTACTGTGGTACCTTAGGGCTTCAAGGAGAAAGGACTCAAATCTGTAGTAAACCTGTCTTCACTGGTTCTGCTCGTGGAACAGCTCTTTCACAGTGTGTTTCAAAGGTATCAGCATGTGTCTTAACTGCCTCCTAGCTTGTTCATGTAAGTAAGTTAGTGTAATACTTGTATTTTATATTTAATAGCTCATCTCTGGAGAGGAATTGAGTTACGAGGCTAGAAGGCAAGTAAGCTGCATGAGACTTGCAGACGTTCCAAAAATCTATGTAGTATTAGAGTCAGTAGAGCCTAGAAAGTACCAGCAACAGCTATAAAGCATACTGACACAAACAGGCAAGACTGTAATGTTGTTACTTTAGGAATAATAAATAATTCATTATTTCCCAACTGCAAGCAATGGAAAATTGGTTGTTTGAGGAAACAGGCTGAAATGATTATCCCTAACTGTTGCACTTACTTCTACATAGCATAAAGATATGTAACTGGAATACACACGTACATGTCTGTTAATGTTTTAGTCAGCATATATTCTGTTCTTGAATCTCATCATTACAGTCTTAGAAACCAAGAGGTGTATATATGCATTTCGTGTATTTTAATCCTGTTTTAGAATGACCTTGCTGTGCAAAAGAAGAAAATTGAAGAAGTTGAAACCTGGTTAAAAATGCACGTATTTCAGAGGCAGCCAAAGCAGGTAATCTTGCTAAAATTAGCAGCTAGAGATATAAAACCATACAAACGAGCTGGATTCAATTTTATTTTAATTTCAGAGAAAAACCTTAACTTACAGGTAGTGATTATATATCTATTGCATTATAAGAAATCTGTTAAGAATGTAGGTTAGAGCTTGTACATTTGTTTAGGGCTTATGCTGCTAAGAGGTGGGTTCTGGTTTTGCTTGGAAATACTATTTTCTAGCATCCAGTCAGTTCATACCTCTTCAGTGTGTGCTTGTAACTGCATTTGATCTCCCACAGATTAATTTTAAGTATCTTTGCAAATTTTCAGTTGCATTGACTTGATGTAATAGGATGTTTTTAACCTCTTGATTGATAAGAGACATTCTTATGCATCATTTACCAGTCTTGCCTAGTGTTTTTCAGACCCGATTCTCCAGTTCAGTATGTGTTATGTTGGTAGTCTACATGGTGTGCAGTTAACTGAACAGATACATTAAAAACTGAGAGCAAGGCTTTCAGAGTTCTGGTCTAGCTTTTCCTATCTGAATACTCAACAGGTAAATTAATAACACAAAATATTTAACTTGGTTTTTATTGGGAAAAGAGAATCATTACCAGAGAAACTATGGAAGAAATTCAGCCAATATTCATCTTCAGCCAACTTTTAGTCTTTATTTATCATGTTTGGGATTTTTTTTTCTCCCTCCCCCCCCCTCCTCCCCCATGACAGGGTGGCTCTGTTTTACTGCTAACTGGTCCTCCTGGTTGTGGAAAGACTGCAACTATACAAATATTAGCAAAAGATCTTGGCATTCAGGTGCAAGAATGGACCAATCCAGTATCTTTAGACTTTACAAAAGAAGACTTAAGGAATATGTTTGGCCATGGTAAGTATTTTGTTTTTTTCTTTTTTTTTTTTTCCTTCCAGTTACTCTTGTGATTTTTGTATGCTGTGTTTTTTTTATTCTTTTGTGTCTCTGTCGCATATGAAGTCAGATCCACATCTGTGTAAGTCAGATCCCTAGTGTTTAATAAGAATCTTTCTTTTGCTTTTATCTGAAAAGGGATTTAGTTTTTTTACAGTGTTTACCCCAAAATAATTTGCAATTGAAGTCAGTATAGAGAGCTATGTAATAGCCTGGATATCATTTGAACCAATTAAATAAGAACAGGTAAGTTTGTCTTGGTCTGGGTCCTCCACTTAATTCTACCCTTTAAAAATTCTCTTGTATTTGTAACGTGTTTGCCAAAGGGCTTGGCTGCTGGTGTTCAATGGCTACTGTCAGAAAATAGCATGGGTGGGTATTAGTTCTTGTGGGTATTTATATTCTACTTAGTATAATATAGAATACGTATTTTTAATTAGTTTTCTTTTTCAGACTCAAATTTTCATACGTTTCCAAGTCAGGCCCAAGCAGCTCTCTTTCAAGATTTTCTGTTAAGAGCAAATAAATATAACAAACTTCAGATGCTTGGGGAGTCCTCAGAAAATGATAAAAAGCTTATTCTTATTGAAGTAAGTGAAAACTTGTGAAATCTTGTTTTGAAAACAATACCTTTTATTATCATGTTGACATGCTAACTAGCTTCATGAAGCTGGTGGATTGGTGTTGCCAAAAGTTAGTCTGCTTTACCGCAGATGAGTTCTTTATTACTTTTTGAGTAATGCAGCAGGCTAGAACCAAGTTCTATCTCTAGGTAAACTATATGAGCTAATAGTCAGGCAGAAACTGGAGACTAGTTGTGTACAGAAATAAGTAATAGAGTATCAAAAAGTAGATGAAAACAATATTGAGAAGTCATACCCATGTTTTTATATGATTAGCTTTCTAGAAATATATACTTGTATAAACAGGAAGAGGGGAAAAAAACCCACTCTCCTTGTTACTTAAGGATGCAGGAGAGTGTAGGAGATACGTGAGAATTAATACAGTCGGAAGGCATTTGAAATTTAGCATTCCCTGGTCTTATGCGGGGAGGGGTGTATTTAGGGCAGAGATGTGAACTCTGAGGGTTTGTAAGCCATAACCAGAGGTACAGGAGAAGACTTTGTTTTTACTTAGTCAGGAGTGTGTTTCAATAGCATTTTCTTTCTAAGCTTTCCATTTTTTCTGACAGAGGAATTTTATAAGTATGATGGTCAAGTTGTCTGTAAACTTTCAAGAAAAAGAATAGCTGAGAGAAAAATTCTAGCTGAGTAACGTGATGTACTGTAGAATTTAGGAAGCATAGTTTTCTGTGACTTCTCTTCATGAAGTCACTTCCTTGTGTAGGTCCTCTCATACCTCAAACAGTATATCCTGCCCTCTTCCTCAGTGGAGCTGCTACCTTGAGTGTTGATCCTCTGAGTAAAACTCCGTCTAGTAGGCAATGTAATCACCCAAGGCTGTTTCTTAGGAAACAAGGACAGAAAGAAAATGTTTCTTTTTTAGATAATTTTTTTTTCCATAATAAAAGAAAGAAATACTACGCTGTGCTTTTTTTTTCCTTTGTTTTTTTCCCCCTGGTTGTCTTCGCTGTTAGCTGCATTCAAATTTAGTTGAAAGCAGGTTAACTAGGAAGAAAAAATGTGTAGCAACGTGGTGTGCCATAACAGTCTGTCTGTGAGAGAGAATATATACATCTGAATGTAATGACAG